ATATATATATCTCAGTAGTTCATCCTTTTTTACTACTAAGTAGTATTCTATTATATGAATAGAGACAAAGAGACAACTTGGTTATTCATTCATTGGATTGATTCCATCCAATCAGAACTGTACAATTTGGACACCTCATTTACATAAAAAGAACCTAATTGGGAACCTGGGCAGAAACTTTCACTATGAAAGACAGCCTCCTCTTTGTCTTGATGGGACACAATTTAAGTTGCTACCTGGATCTGTGTCTCCTGGGCTGCAGCTCCTTTTTCTCAAATAAGTGCTTATTATTTTTTATTAAAGTCTAAAATTAAATTTAGTTTACACACATAAGTTGCTATGAACATTTATGTATGCATCTTTGTATATGTTTCCTTTTTTCTGTGGTAACAAGCTAGACATGGAGAGGCTGAATTATATAACAGGTATACATTTAACTTTTTTAGTTCTTTTTTTAATACAAATTTTATTGTTTAGAATAATTTCAGATTTACTGAAAAACTGTGAAGACAGTGTCTTAGTTGGCTCGGGCTGCTATAACAAAAATTCGATAATCTAAGTGGCTTAAACAACACATATTTATTTCTCATGTTCTAGAGATTGGGAAGTCTAAGATCAAAGCACCAGCAGATTCAGTGTCTGATAAGGGCCCACATCTTTGTTCATAGATAGCTGTCTTCTCACTGTGCCCTCACATGTCCTCACATTGCAGAAAAGGCAGAGCTCTTTGGAATCTCTTTTACAAGAGCACTAATTCCATTCATTATGCTCCACTCTCATGACCTAATCACCCAAAGCCCCACTCTCTAATGCCATCACATTAGGAGTTAGAATTTCAACATATGTATTGGAGGAGGGACAAACATTCAGTTCATAGCAGATAGTATAGAGTGTCCTACATACCCCATACCCAACGTTCCATTTTGTTAATATCTAAAGTTGCTATAGTACAATTGTTACAATTAATGAAACAAAATTGATATATTATTACTAACTAAAATCCATACTTTATTCAGATTCCTTTAGTTTTTACCCATCGTCCTTTTTCTTCTCGGAGATTATTTAACTTCCTAAGTATCTGACAAACTGTGTTCCAAAGTGGTATACCATTTAGAAAACAAAAGTTAGGCAGTGCTGCTACTCTGTAGCAGAAATTGATTAACATGTGACAAAACATATGTATGTGAAACAGTTCACTCTAGTTCAAGCTACTATATTAGGAGCCAAATGAGTCAACCAGATAGTAAGTGCTACAAAATGTCATTGTTTATTTGATTTTGTTGCATCTTCTTTCTTTGCCCTACCAATAAAAGAAGATACATACCTATATTTAATTAAAGAAGATACATACCTATATTTGCAGAGGAGGAAAGTAACCTGAAATTTGCCTTGAAAAATTCACAAAACCCAACTAGTTAATTATAGACACCTTCAGAGAAGTGCAAACTAAGAGGCAAGAATTCCCAGCAAAGATAAAACACACAGTTGGGCATTTTGTAATATTAATTGTGTGTTCTGTGGTAAATTTGGTAGCTCATGTGAGTGAGAGAATTTCTTCAGGCTATGGCCATTTATGCTAACACAGAAGTAATTACTAGATTTTGTCTTCTAGCCTCAAAAGTCAATGTTCTTGAAATTACATGATTTTTACACAGCTTTACAGATTGGAACAAGTCCAGTAGTCTTACTGGAAAAAAATGCTAATCATACCATTAGTTCAACCAAGAGAAGTTCTGCATTCTTTCTTAGCCCACACATTTTCTTCAAATAGAACAGTTCTGATGGCAGAATGCTGAAGATGTTATGAGGAGGATTTCTCTCAAAAACATTTCTGGAAACAAAATTTCCTTCTGGATGCATGGCTCTTCCTCGGGGTATTGTATTTGCTTCATATTTTAATTGAATCATAACTCTTGTTTTGTTTACCCATGTCAGAAGTGCACTGCCCAGTAGATCTAAGAAGTAGGGATATAAATAGTTCTCAATCAGTTGGCTTTTGGAGAAGCTGCCACAGAGGCATTAGATCTGGCAGAAGGACTGGCCACACTGCCTAGGTTCTCTGTTTTCTGGGCAGCAGCTTGATCCTAGAAGTATGTGTCACAACTTTTTCACTCTTGATATTGCCCCAGAGGAAGAGTTCTTTGAAAAAAATCTACATAGAGAAAGAGCTTGAATATTTACCAAAAGTTTGATAAAATGATGTCACTTGGACTACAGCAAGTACAACCTCTGTATTCAGCAGTTCACCTGAAGCTTGGCTGACATAT